TAAAAAGGCCTTGTGCCACATGACACCCTCGTGGGGGTATGACTGAATATCATCAGTCGTTCAACTCTGAACTGACTGTTCGGTTCAACTCTCTTCCTACGGGCAGGGAGGAACCCGAAGGAATCTACGCCGAAGGGCGGAGTCTCAGCCTTCGGGAGGTAACCCGGCCTGAACCCGTTCATGCGGGTTCCGTCTGGGCTAGTTTTTGGCCGAGCCTAATGGCCAAACCAGGAATGCCACATTAAAAAAGGCCTTTGTGCCACATGACACCCCGTGTGGGGGTGATCAATATCATCAGTCGTTCAAGTTTTGAACCGACTGCACGGTTGTACTCTCTTCCTACAGGCGGAGGAACCTGAAGGAGGCTACGCCGAAGGTCGGAGTCTCCTTCGGGAGGTTAACTGGCCCTGAACCCGTTTATACGGGTTCAAATGGGCTATTTTTGTCCGGAGCCTAATGGCTCGGAAAATGCCCACGTTAAAAGGACTTGTGCCACATGACACCCTCGTGGGGGTGACTGATTATTATCACTCTTTCATCTCTGAACTGACTGTTCGGTTCAACTCTCTTCCTACGGGCGGGGAGGAACCTGAAGGAGGCTACGCCGAAGGGCGGAGTCTCCTTCGGAGAGGTAAATCGGGCCCCTGAACCCGTTTATACGTGTTCAAATGGGCTATTTTTTTGGCCGAGCGTAATGGCTCTGGAATTCTACATTAAAATGTCCTTTTGCTGACATGACACCCTCGTGGGGGTGACTGAATATCATCAGTCGTTCAACTCTGAACTGACTGTTCGGTTCAACTCTCTTCCTACGGGCGGGAGGAACCCGAAGTAGGCTACGCCGAAGGGCGGAGTCTCCTTCGGGGAGGAAAAACTGGCCCTGAACCCGTTCATACGGGTTCAAATGGGCTATTTTTTGGCCGAGCGTAATGGCTCTGGAATTCCCACATTAAAAAGGCCTTGTGCCACATGACACCCTCGTGGGGGGTGACTGAATATCATCAGTCGTTCAAGTTTTGAACCGACTGCACGGTTGTACTCTCTTCCTACAGGCGGGAGGAAACCGAAGGAGGCTACGCCGAAGGGCGGAGTCTCCTTCGGGGAGGTAAAACCGGCCCTGAACCCGTTTATACGGGTTCAAATGGGCTATTTTTTGGCCGAGCCTAATGGCTCGGGAATGCCAACGTTAAAAAGGCCTTGTGCCACATGACACCTTCGTGGTGGGGGGGTGACTGAATATTATCAGTCGTTCAAGTCGATCTCGGTCAACCGGCTGATCGGTTGAACTCTCTGCCTTCGGGCGGAGCAGAACCCGGACGAGGCTAGGCCGAGGGGCGGAGTCTCGTTCGGGGAGGTAAACTGGCCCCGAGCCCGTTTATACGGGTTCAATGGGCATATTTTTGGGCCGAGCCCACGGGCTCGGAGTACCCACAATAAATAACCGACCTTGTGTCACATTTTGCCCCAGTTTGGGGGGGACTGAGTATCATCAGTAGTTCAAGTTGACTCAAGAGTCGAGTCAGAGGCAGTCCCTAACAGAGTCCCTAACATACCTGTGCTCGAGTTCTTCTTTATTGGTTCTACCTTGGACTATCACCTTGGTACAAGGAACCGGGCAATAATTATAAGTAAGAGAAGTGATTTTGATTGTCAGTTGGATAAGGTCAGATTGATGCTTGATCTAAAAATGGCCTACAGTCTGTTGTTAACAGGGGCAAGGAATGGCTTGTAAATTTTGACGCTTCCAAAAAGAAGCCTCTCTTTATCCATCGCCTAAAAGGCCGCTTTTTGCCTTTCACCAGCATAGTCGTTCCTAATTTGTTGCGCCTTATCAGGCTTACATTCTGGGCTGACATGAAGCGGGATGATTATATTGAATCCATTGCTAGGTCAGCTGCTAAGAAAGTTGGTTCACTGTGTCGTATTAGACATTTTTTTCTCTCCTGAATCTATTTTACATATTTATATCTACCATTTGTCCATGCTTTGAATATTATCTTGAAAGTCCACGCTTCTAGATCATTTTGTACCATTTAAGATATCTCCAAGGTTTCTATCGTTGGAGCTATTTTTTTCTTAAGTTTTCATCAATGCTTCTTAATAACATTTTTTCTCAACTTGGTATCTATGCTGATGACGCAACTATTTACTACTCCTGTCTCGACATTAAGTCTGATCAGTTCGTTAATGTCTAATTGTCAGCTGATCTAAAAAAATGCCCCCACACTTCGTTGTTAACTGGGGCAAGGATTGGCTTGTTAATTTTAACATCTTCAAAATGAACCCTCTGTTTATCAATCACCTGAAAGACCGCTTCCTGCCTTCCATCAGAATAGTCGGTACTAACTTCCAGGAGAGTGACTAGTTGCGACTTATCAAGCTTATATTCTGTGCTGACATGAAGTGAAAAGATGATATTGAATCCATTGCTAGGTTTGCTGCTCAGAAAGTTGGTTCACTGTGTCGTTCTAGACAATTTTTTCTCTCCTCAATCTGTAAATACTTTATGGTAAGTGTTCGGATGAACTCTTCGCTATGGTACCTAGACATTATAAATTTAAGCGCATTTAAATTGGCGCCAAGATATCATCATTTTACGGTTGAAATAAGGAAAATGAAGCGTGAAGTGAAGGCTTAGTAAACGAACGAACAGAGAAAAAGAGAGGGCTGATAAAGAAATGGGAAAAAAAAGATGGTGTAACAATAAGAAAGAGAAGGAATTCTGATAGTCTGATCAGTTGGATAAGGTCAAATTGGCAGCTAATCTAAAAAATGACCTACAGTCTGTTGTTAAATGGGGCAAGGAATGACATGCTAACCTCACTCTATTAATCATCAAAAAGATCACTTTCAGCATTTCATCAACACTCGAGCTAATATTCTCCATCTATCTATCTATCTATCTATCTATCTATCTATCTATCTATGGAGCTAATATTTTCGGTTGACGGGAAATGGAAGGATTATATTGAATCCATTGAAATGTCACTGTATCGTGATTTTATTTCCAGAATCTATCTTAAATATTTATAAACTTACCATTTGATCATGAGTTGAATATTGCTGCCAAATAAGGTCCGATGCTCCTGCTATATATTTTGAGATTTTTAATAAAATCCAAAGAAGAATCAGTAATATTATTGGTCCTGACTTGACATCTCGGCTTCAATCACTGTTCCACCGATGCAATATAACACCACGGTGCCTTTTTCTATAAATACATTCATGGTATCTGTTTGGATAAATTCTTCTATATGGTACCTAGATTTTATGAATTTAAGCGCCGTGCTAGATTGGTGGCAAGTTGAATTGGTTAGATGGAACCGTAACTTCTATGTTAACAGTTTCTTCTCTCGCACGTCTCGCTTGTAGAACTCTATTCCGGTTCCATTATTTCCATCAAACTTTGATCTTTATGATTTTATAAATCTAAATGCAGTATTAGATTGGTGGCAATCTGTATTAAATTCACTGTTGAATTGACTAGATGCAAACGTAAGTTCTATGCTAACAATTTCTTTTCTTACAGTTCTTGCTTATGGAACCTCTTCTGACTTTCAGCCAACTTTGATCTTAAAAAATTTAATACAATGTCAGTCGTTATCTCCTGTCTTTCTGTTTACTCTTCTATTATTTTCGTTGCTTAATAATGTTTCTGTTTTCTAATTCTTTCAAACTTAGTAACGTCCTTGTGTCTTATTTGCTTTACTGCATTACTTGTCCAAATTCGGTCATATATATATATATATATATATATGTGAAGAAATATAGTTTTAAGGTGTGCTATATTTATGGGATAAAGTGCTCAATATCAGAGATAGAGCGTATGTAAATATAAATATAAAAGTGAACATTGAAGTCAACGCTCAGAGGTGACAGGCTGTTTCATGCAATATATATATATATATGTGTGTGTGTGTGTGTGTGTGCGTGCACGTGTGTATGTTGTGTGTGTATACGCGCACACGCACACACATACACACACACACACACATATATATATATATATATATATATATATATATATATAAAGAGAGAGCGAGAGAGAGAGAGAGAGAGAGCGATATAGACAGACAGAGACAGTGAAAGCGAGAGAGGTCGGTATAGAATAACATCTCCGAAGAATACATTATTTTTTCTGGTAAATCATGTCTTTTTATAACAACAATTTAGTATCTGTGATGACATTCATTTTTTTAGTTTAGTAAACTCATGTTATTGATAGTCGTTTTTCTTTCTTTTCTTTTTTTTTTTTGTAGAGGTGGTAAAATTATGGCTATTGGCATCGACTGATACGTCAAAGAAAGAGATTTTATTGTTAATATTATCTTCGTAAGTAAATAGTAGAAGAGAGATTATTTTTTTCAGTCGATGTCACCGCAAGAAAGGCAGTACAGCCACTAAGACGCAACGGGTTACAGGGTGTGGAGGAATTAGGAACAAAAGCATTAGTAATGAGTAGAGAAAAGAGCAATCAGGAGGACCGTAGGCATGCTAACAGTTCCTTTTCTCGTACTTCTCGCTTGTAGAAATCACTTCCGGCTCCATATTTTACAATCAACATCGATCTCCAAAACGTGAAATGCAATGTCAATCGTAATCTACTGTTTCCTTAATTACTCTTCTAGTTGTCCCCTCTGCCTAATGTTTCTCTTTTTTCTTTCGCACTCAGTAACACCTTGTGTCTTAGTGGTCTTAGTGGCTTTATTGTCTTGTTTGGGGTGAATTGATTAAAAATGAAAGAAAACAGATTCGAAAGATTGGGGAAGAATTAAAAAAAAAGATGTATAGAGCAGAAGGTTTTTTTTGAAGAACAAATATAAGAAGGAAAAATGGAATTGGTGGGTTAAGGAGACGAGCAGTAGAAATAGGGTGCATAAAAAATGACAATGAAAAATATGAAAGAAGACGGTGAAGAAGAAGAAGTGGAAAGATGAAAAATGGGTGAGGAGAATTTGAAATTGAAGAAGAACAAGCAGAAGAGGGATGAAAAATGGGTGTCAGGACTTAGAAATTGAAGAAGAAGAAGAAGAGGAAGAAGAAGGAGAAGTAGTAGTAGTAGTAGTAGTAGTAGTAGTAGGAGGAGGAGGAGGAGGGGATGTAAAATGGATGAACATAACTAAAAATTGAAGAAGAATAAGTAGTAGTAGAAGAAAGAGAAGTAGGAGTATGAGGATAAAAATGGCTGAACGTAATTAAAACTGAGGAAGAAGAAGAAGAAGAAGAAGAAGAAGGAAGAAGAAGCAGAAGGAAGAAGAAATAGGAGGATGGGAAATTAAAATTGAAGAAGTAGGAGGGGGATAAAAACGGGACTTAAAAATTGAAGAACAAAAAGAAGAAAAAGAAGATGTAGTAGTAGTAGGAGTAGTAGCAGGAGGAGGAGGAAAAGGAGCAGTAGGAGGATGAAAATGAGTGAGCGGAATTAAAACTGAGGAAGAAGAAGAAGGAAAAAGGAAGAAGAACCAGAAGAAGTAGAAATAGGAGGATGGGAAATTAAAATTGAAGAAGAAGTAGGAGGGGGATAAAAACGGGACTTAAAAATAGAAGAAGAAGAAGAAGAAGAAGAAGAAGAAGAAGAAGAAGTAGTAGTAGCAGGAGGAGGAAAAGGAGGAGGAGAGGGAAAAGGAGGAGGAGAGGGAAAAGGAGGAGGAGGGGGAAAGGAGGAGGATGTAAAATAGATGAATATAACTAAAAATTGAAGAAGAAGAAGAAGGAGAAGTAGGAGTAGGAGGATGAAAATGAGTGAGCGGAATAAAAATTGAGGAAGAAGAAAAAGGAAAAAGGAAGAAGAAGCAGAAGTAGAATAGGAGGATGGGAAATTAAAATTGAAGAAGAAGAAGAAGAAGAAGAAGAAGAAAAAGAGGAGGAGTAAGAACGGGAGGATGAAAATAGGTGAACATTTAAAACTGAGGGAGGAGAAGAAGGAGAAAAGGAAGAAGATGCAGAAGAAGTAAAAATGGGAGGATGGAAATTAAAATTGAAGGAGAAGAAAGAGGAGGGGAGGAGCAGGGGGATGAAAAGGGATGAGCGGAATTAAAACTGAAGAAGAAGAAGAAGAAGAAGAAGAAGAAGAAGAAGAAGAAGAGGAGGAGGAGGAAGAGTAGAAACAGGCGGATGAAAATGGTTGAACAGAATTAAAACTGATGAAGAAGAAGAAGAAGAAGAAGAAGAAAAAAAGAAGAAGAAAAAGACAAAGAAGAAGAAGTAGAAATGAGGGAATGAGAAATAGGAGATACAGAAGGATAAAACTGAAGAAGAAGCAATGTTAGAAATTGATGAGGAAGTAGTAATGGGCGAAGAATTTATAGAAATAAAGGAAGAATTGTAGAATAAAATGGGAAGGATAAAAGAATATTGGAAACATTAGACGCAAACCAACAAGTGAAAAGGAAAACCATCAATAAAATCACTTGAAATAAAAAGCAAGTAAAAAAAAAAAAAAATAGAAAACTATGTCGAACTTAACAAAAACATTGGAAAAGCAATAAACGACACGGATACGTC